TCTCTCTCGTCTTTCTCTCTCTCTCTCTCTCTCTCTCTCTCTCTCTCTCTCGCTCTCTCTCTCTCTCTCTCTCTCTCTCTCTCTCTCTCTCTCTCTCTCTCTCTCTCTCGCTGGCACAGGTAACCCAACCATAATGACGGTCACCTGTAGAGCTGTGGTGAACAGTTCAAGACCGTGACTGATGCATTGACACAGCTCATTGTGGTTACGTAAAAGAACTTCAGTCCGAGTCCTAGCATGTTCATGTTGTATTCCTGCAGCTGCAACACCGTTGCGCCGACCAAGGCAAAGGAGAAAGACCCGGAGATCACGGCCACCAACACCTGCGATGTCAGGCATTGTTGTGAGGCGGCACACATGACAACAAAACACGTCGCTTGTGTACAGATAGATGGAAAGATGGATGGAAAGATAGAGTTGTAAGTAGGTAGATAGACAGGTAGATATAGTCAGCTGGACAAACAGATAGACAGATAGATAGACGGACAGATAGATAGGCAGGCAGATGGGATAGACGGTTGGGTGCATACACACATGCACACATGCATGCATGCATGCAGGCAGGCATGCATGCATGCAAACATATATGCACACATACGTACATACGCTACATACGTACGTACTTTGAACTAAATATGTACATTACACACAATTTGGTGCAGTAACGCCCACTACATTCCTTTACATTCCCATCCATTCCACTACATTCCACTACGTTCCACTACATTCCATTGCATTCTCATTCCGTTGTACATTCCGTTACCTTCCTTCCATTACATCACGCACCGTTGCATGACAATACATTAGATTACAGATTACATGACATTCGATTACATGGCATTACATCACATGACATTGCAGTGCATCACCGTATTTCACAGTGCAGTACGGTGCAGTGCAGTGCAGTGCAGTGCAGTGCAGTGCAGCTCAGTCCAGTGCAGGGCAGCACAATACGGCACAGCACAGTACATAACCTGCTCACAGACACGTGCATATGCGCCTACACGTACGTGCATATTGACGTCTGAATGGCAGAGTCTGCCTTGCCGTTGCTGATGTTGATGTTCACGCCTTCCCAAGACAAGAGATCCCATTGAGACTTGGCGACAGGATCACATGACATCCGCGTAGGCAGCCTGATGCGCAAGAAAGTGTGCGTTTGCAGTCGCGAGCAGAATGATTGGTTGCTCTCAGCATGTCAGCCGGAGGTGTGTAGTACTGCATATTACATAATGCGCAGCAAAATCGGTGCCACGGGAAAGGAACCTGGATCGCCAAAAAGCTCTGCCAGGTACACCATGTAGTGCGTAACCTGAACTGCAATTAGGACTTCAGGTGATAATGTCATCTGATTGAGGACGCCCCGTTGCTTTCGGCTTCGCATTGTCTGCCCTTTTGCGAGGCCTGCGACACGTCCTCTGGCTCGACCCACTCCAAGACGCCGCCCAAGTCCCCAAGATCCAAGTCTTCGTCCGGAAAGCTGATGTTTTGGACCTCCATGGAGGCTAGATCCAGAAGCTGCGGTGTGAACATAGCAACTGCTCAGGTTTGATGAATCGGAAATGCACGAGTGGTGGAAAGCTTGTGGGCTTCAGGCTTCCGAGGCACCGTGGCTGCTGTGTCGCTGATGATGAAAGAGTCGGGTGTGCTCTGCTCGACAAGCACCGAGCGAGTATAAACCAGCAGGTGTGAGAAGGACTGCAGGGCAGTGTCCGGCGGGATGTCAAGGTAGCCCTCGTCATCAGCTCCTGCTCGAGTCTGGCACTACGGCTGGCACCCAAGACGCTTGAAACCTGAGCGGATTCCCCAGTCCCCTCCACTCCAGCTCAGTTGACATCGATGCGTCAGATCATCCGAGATTGTGCTCACAAGAAAGCTGCACAGCCAAACAGCCCAAACCTTGACTTCTCATTGCGGCTATTTTGTACAATTACATATCGTGGCTCACTACACCACAGGGCGGGAGCAGACGTCGCGCTTAGTGCGCCGCACCGATGTGGGTGGGTGGCGAGGGGTAAACTAAGACTGCCGGGCCAGCTCCTGATGCGCCAGCATCTCCATCAGAGCTCATCACGATGCTGATGTTATAGTTAGTGAGGTGCCTGTTGAGTCCATCTGCACCCTCTGCAAAGTAGACATTGTACTGGATCACCTGGCCACATAACTCAACACGGAAAAGCATTCAGGTCGAGACAATAAAATGTGGAGCGTCTGCATTTGGAAGGCCAGTTCTCTAAGTCTGCAAGGCCTACTGTCGGATGGCAGTACAGAGCTGGTAAACTGGAGAACAGTTTGCATGCTGCCCCATATATGTGGCAAGAAGCTGACCAAAAGGGTCTGGCAGTGCTTTCCTTTGACTCAGGGTCCCAAGCTACTTGCAAAGCACTGAAACTCGCATCCGTATCAATAAGTATAATACAGACCAATCTCTGCACTCTGAATAGGTCCGTCTAGAATGGCTTGGTCCCTGACTCTACGTCACGCCTGACTTGAAACAAAACGGGCGAAAGCCTGTGCCATCAGTCCCTTACTGTTGTCTTCCAAGGTCGTATGCTGAGGTGGCTACCTTCTCCAGTTGTGCAGGCAGCTGCCATGCCATTCGACCGCCGATTTCCTCTTCGTCCAGGTCCTCACCAGACTTAATGCGTGCTGAAGTGGATGTCGCACATGCCTATCCTGAACCTTGAATCTTCTGCAGTCTTCCGACAGTTTCTATTGCAAGCACTAGATAACCCAGTGCACAGAACGTCCTTGTCGACAAAGAGTGTGCCGGAAACCGTGGCAAACGCATCCACTATGACGTGCGTAGCCGGCGTACTCTGTTCCACCAGCGGGGAGAGTGTATAGATGGCAACGTGGGTTGTTCGTGGAACGACATTGGCAAAGTTGATCAACGGAGTGTCAGGCTGGACCGTAAGGCTGTCATTGCCAACAGAGACATTCTGGAAGTATGCACCTGTGCATGTCTGTGCATGCGTTGATTTTACCGGAGCGTTAAATGCTAGACCTGGTCTTTGGGTGCTCGAGGGCTGTTCAGCGATATCTCAGGTAGAAAACACGGGGGATGAGACCCGCAACCAAGAGACGGATGTCAGAACCGTTGGTCAAGTTGTAATCTGCAAAGTAGACGATATAGTGGGTCACCTGCCAGAGCGAGAGCCAGAACGCTATCCACGACAGAAGTTGTCAGTCTTCTAGATATATTCGGGAATTGACACTTCGAATTTGTGCCTGTCTCTCTAAATGCCACAGCGGCTTATACATCAGCTGCCGGCTCATGACCCTAGTCAATATTATAGAATTATGGACACACCAAGGCGATCAACTCAGCCAACATGCCCGTCGCAGCCGTGTGTGCTCGATGCTGAAACAAAGAAGCTGGCACTCTACAGCCGGCTGCTGAGCCTGCTCAGTGTTGCTTGGTTCATCCCACACCTTGGTCGCGACTTGGCTGTCTCACGGCTCTATGGCATTCTATGGTCAGCTTTCAGTGCCTGCAGGGGTCTGGGGCTTGCGACCGTGTCACCAAACTGCCACCAATTTCGTGCTCGTCCAGATCATAGTCAGGCAACGACCTGAACGATGCATGGAGATTACATGGTGCCGGTATTCAATTTGTCGCAGCCTTTGCCCGAAGGAAGCTATCACCAGATGTAACACAAGCCCAGCACTTGCAGCAGATACACACATTCAAGTCTACACTTAGTATGGAAGCACGTTCCAGGTTGTCTTGTCTCACAATGATAGGAAGCTGTCTGCTCAAAAACCAACACTTCTGGATGTCACAGGCAAGCCAAGTGGCACATTGGCCACGGTAGCTTGCACGTCTGAAAGTAGAAGTGCGACGGGTGTCGTCTGCTCTGCCAGCTCTGATGCAGCGTAGATCACGAGATGCGTGAAGTGCCTGGATCCAGGTTGACCGTCAGCCCTGCAGCAGAGTTACCTCCATCATCGACACCCACAAATGTTGGCCGTCCAACGTTCTTGATCCGAAACCGAAGCCCCCGTCCAAGCCGTAACTAGATTTGCCCTCGACTGCTTGTTTCTCCAACACCAGAACCCTCAAGGCCAACAATCAAACACTGCGCCTCAAAGATGTTTCTGGAGGAAGCAGACTGCTGAGCTCTGTGGACGTAAGCTGGAGCTCCCTGCATTGGTGGGAGCCCGACGCAGACTTTCATTCAGGGTCTGAGCTTCGGGCCAAAGGCTTGGACAGGTATATGACTTTGTTTGCAGGCCTGGTCCTGAGAATGGGGATTCTTGCAGCCATAGGTGTTTTGACACTGAATGCCACGTACCACGCGATCCAATAAAGGACTGAAGCCATGCAATGTCTGCAAGAAATCGCTGCATTGTCTCAGGGGTTCGTTCTTCCTGTGTTTGAGGCTCGTCTTTGCAGATTCAGGTGGAACATCTTTTATACTGGAGGAACCTGATTAAGAAACCCTGGCCCTGCAACTCCGAAACAACATGAAGAACCCTAAGAAAGACACGCGGTTTCTTGATCAAGTTCCGACATTGCGGGCTTTAGGCTTAAGGCATGGCGCAGGGATTCGGGGACTTTGAATCTCAAGAGCTGGCCAGAAGCCTGCCATCACCTTCGTAGCTTGTGGCCAGGTAGATGTTGTACGAAGCGATCAAATGCTTGTCAAAAACAGCTGTCCAACCTCAGGCATGCGGACGAAATCCTATGCTGTCCATAAAGCCATAAAGCCTGCTGCTGCTGCTGCTGCTGAGATCTCTAGCCGCTGATTTGTGCCACGATCACATCTTTTGAATCAGATCGTGCCTCCTCCTGTTTATTAGGCATTATCGGAGACTATCGGTCGGTAGCTGATCGCCAGTCTGCACCTCTGCCTGTTGGCTTAGGGAAGGACATGACATGATAGCATCTTCGAACCTCCGACACTTCAGCAAATTCGAGCTTAAAGTGTTGGCCCTTGCACCTTTCATGAAGCTACCCGAAAATCGGCTTCAGGTAGCAGCTGCAACGGGCAGTGGCAAAGAACTCCAAGCGCTGCTTTGTCCAGCCATGACCAGTTCTGGCTCGGCCCACGCCCGGACTCTTCTCATCCTTTCCCCTTTATTCAACAACCATCATTTATTACTTCAGAACTTCAGAAGTCTCCGACAACGGCCCTCGGGAAGTGACGACAGCTAGTTCTTTCCACTGTTAGACTTATCCGGATCTGCCAGGACACTGATCGTGCCGCCCAGCTCACCAGCGTCGAGATCCAAGTCCACGAAGCTTAGGCTCGCAACCTAGGTCCGGCACTTCAGAAACCCTCAGAGTAAAACCACCCGCGAAACAAAAGGGAGGCTTCAAAGCAGCACTCACACTTTAAGACTTCACGCAGAACGGCCATGTGAGCATTGACTCTCTAGGGCTCAAGGGTGCTGTGCCACAAAGCTGCTCTGGATCGCAAGTCATCAAAACGGAGGAATGAAGGTGTCGACTGCTCCGCCAAGGCTGATGAGGCGTAAAGCAGGAAGTGTGTGAAGCCACCTGGGTCATTACAGATACTGTCCACGCAGACCAGCACAGGAAGCAGTGCGCAATTACTTTGGGCTGTCTTCCGGCTGCATGATATCGACGAGAACGGTCCCACAACCCAGCTCCTGCTCTTTCTTGACCCATGTCCAAACAGCACAGTGTTGCCCCCTTGGCCCGACTCCCCTTGAGCCCACAAGGTTCCGGGGTGCAAGGTAGACGTACATCTCTGAGATGCCTTTAGGCATGGAGCCTGTGTCGGTCTCAGCCGGGATCCCGATCTGTGTAGCACCAGCCGGAGCATTGTCCAGGTAAGTCCGCCGGCAGAAGGTCAACTGATACCTCCGGTGCAAGATTAACATGAACCCTTGTCCGCAAGCCCTCCATAACATCTGCTGAGGCCCTTTGTGTGACATGTCTGCTGGCCTTCAGTCTACCGTGACCTCCGTCGCTCCTTTCAACTCCGAATACCTATGCTTGGCACTGTTCAAATCATCACACCAATGCGACAGAGCTGCTGCAACCGCGCAGTCCCAGCCCAAATTCACCAAGTGGACCCAGAGAACAAGCCTCTTTTTGAACCGTTTCCGAATCGTGCATCCAGGCGACTGGACCGAAGCCAGGCGCCGCAACAAAGGCCCATCACCTTCCCCGGATTATTTAACTGCTAGTTCCTTGCAATTTGAGGGTTGCTTTCGCTCTGGACCAAAACAAGTTTTTCGGCACAAGCGGCCACTTGTCTTCGAGAAGACCACAACCACAGTTACAAGCTGCGAATCTTTCGGCGTATATCGAAGCTGCTAGATAGAGCCGTGCTGATAGCATCTTTCGTGTGTCAATATGCGCTGTCCTTTTTGGTTGCAGGTTTTTTGTCAGCCTTCGCAAGAAGCCACACCCGTCATTGCCCACATCCTCAACAATACCGAGCTCAAGAACCGTCAAAATTGCAACCCGCTGAGGTGAAAGAAAACGTGAGCTGCTTCCTGATTCCTGGAGGGGGGGTAGATCACAGGCCTACTCGCGAAAAACAAGCGGGGTTGTAAGAAATGTTTCAGACCCGTGGCATTTCGCCACATACTTCCAACTCCACAAATTATCATGTCCACGACCAAGGCCACCTGCATCACCACCACGACCAAGACCACTACGACAAGGACGACGACGAATACTACCACCACTACTACTACTGCTGCTGCTCCTGCGACTGCTACTGCCACTACCACTGCCACTGCCAGCTACCACCACCACCACCACCACTACTACTACTACGACGACGACGACGACGACCACTACTACACAAAGACGACGACTACTACTACAACTACAAGTACGACTGCAACAATTTATCAATTGAACGCAGCGCGAGCGTGCTCTGCTCGTTGCGGGCGCTGGACTTAGCCGACACTCGGTGAGACAGAACACAGACAGGACCGAACTTGCTACCCACGACTAAAGGAGCAGAAGATGCTCTGACGAAAAACATCATAGAGCTACGCCTTTCAATGGTGAGAGACCCGGATGGCATGGGCGGATACACAACCTCCGACACCCTCAGTGTGTACTGTCGCGTCCGAC